CTTGTGCATCTTCTTGTGCACCGTCTCTCGCCTACTTTCAATACACGACTCTGTGTGTTTTGCCTGTGTGACTTATGTGTTTGCTTTTATCTGGACCCTGGTACCCGGTCTTTGCTTGGATCTGCTTCCTCGCCTCACTGTGCCTTTCTTTCCCAATGTGTGTCCGCGTCTATCATTCCTTATGGTGCATCTGATTCAGATTTGCCTCGTTTCGGACGGGTGTGTGTGTTTTTTTTTTGGGGGGGGGGGGTGTGGGGGTGTTGTTGGTTGGTTGGGGTGTCTAGTTTTTCCATTCCCATTCACCAGGACGAAGATACAAGGTGTGTGGAAGGTACGGGATGTAACCATAATCAGGCAGATGCAATCCGAATTTTTTCGTTGACAATCCAAGTTGTATTTTTTTAAAAAAAAGTTATTCACCAGAATAACAGGTGTCCAGTCAGCGTCCAAAGAAGACACGCGTTGATGTTAGTGCCTTAACCAAACTAGTAATTATTTCCCAGGATTAGTAGCCAAGGCAGAGAGAGAGAGAGAGAGAGAGAGAGGGGTATTTTTAAAGTCCATTTTGCTTCCATCAGAAAAATGTCTTTATAATGGCCATAATAACCCATTTAGTTGCTTATATCAACAGAGGTGACTTTTTGTATTCCGAAAAATAAACAAGATATATCTATTGATTTTTTTTGGTGGTGGTGGGGGGGGTGGGGGAGCTAGAAATGAAGTAAATCAAATACACTTGCTTACAAAGCGGTAACAATTACATACATCGATGTCATATCTGGAGTACAAAGTGTGAGGGAGCTGCTCCGAATCTGCAGACAGATGTTCAAAATGTGTGGCAATCTCGGCGTTGAGATCAATCCTATTTACCTTTCAAATGTTGCCCGCTTCTTGAATAACTTGTATGAATGTGACAGACAGTAGAGTGGGTGAGGAACATGGGACATGACAGATTTACATCAGCAGAACTTTGATCAGTCAGACTCCGTGTCAATTCAAGAATGAAAAATTGAACGCATTGAATAAACAAAAGCAGAGACGGTTTCCTCTGGCAAACACATTCGGACTTCAAACTTCTGACACAAAAGCCAAATGATCCAGAGGGGAGATTGATCCGCAAAACATCCCTTTATTAAAAAGACACGATCATCAATGACTGTCTTGCACTAAAGGAAATTGTCCATTCTCAATATAATGTATTTGCATTATGTGTGTGTGTGTGCAAAAATCCACCCAAATAATCTAGCGATATATTATGGGTTAATGCCTGGTTGAGGTGAGAAGACTGGAGAATAAACGTACTTAACAGTAGTTCTGGGCTGTTAACTATCCAATTGCACAAAAAAACTACTTTCTCGTTTTATCAGAAATAATTTCGACCAATTTCACTGTTGATTCGCTGTTCAACTGAAGATTTTTTTTTCAAAAACCCATGTATGTTCAGCATAACCCTCTTGTATACTTGCTATATATTCCATTTATCAGGAAAATTCAGAGAGATACTGTTCCTGATGGTATTCCCTGTAGGTTTATTTGGCGTCGACACTATATATAGAGGATACAGCAGATAGTAACGCTTATAATTCGGTACATGGTTGCTCGATGATACGCTACAAACAATATTACCATATACCTTTTTACATTAAGTATTCGGTTTGATTGTTGAATCGTGTTGAAACAAGATCAGGAAAGATCGGGGTACATCCTTTAATCGTATTTACTTTCTGTGTTAGTATTCCTTTCCCCACGCATTCAAATTCCACGCAATGTATACTGAAACCTACTGGGAGGAGTACACCCAATCCGCATCCAATACTGCAACAGGCCACCAATTTACCATCCAAACTCCAACTTGGGGTAGGAGGCTTCTTGAAACAGACATGAAGAGTGAGATGTATGCTGAGCACAGAGTCAAATGAGTTGCAAAGCCACTGAAACGTGTAACATATTAACGGGCCACCCAGAGACACGTTGCATCTGTATACATTTAAAGTGAGGGGTCCAAAAGAGAGAGAAATGTATTCAAAATATCAATTAGCACAAACGCCTTCATAGACGCAATTCCTCCTGTGTTATCACGAAGGTACTTGCAATGTACATGTATTTGATTCATTTCTGTTCTAAACATGATGGTTGTTTATTGAGGTTGCACAGCTGGTCAGTTAACATCAGGATTTATGAAAAGAGGCATGAACTGATCACGAAGGAGTGGAGATGCTGTTCCTTAAAGGTTTTGTTCCTTTAAGAAGTGCGTTATCTCTGATTTTCACCAGTCCAATGTCTGTGATGCTGAAACCATTAGATGGCGCTAAAAGGTTAACATTGTCCTTGCTACCAACTCAACTGTTTTAATGCTTTAATTGATTCTAATTTCGACCAAATTTTCATAGTAAAGAAAACGAATGCAATTTTTTTTGTGTGTAAGAAAAATCACACGGTGCCGTGTTCATCCACAGCGAAAAACGGAAACGAATGAAATCAGAAGCAGTTTTCTCTTGCATGCAAAATGCCACCCTGACTTGGTACATTCACTCACATTGCTTATTAGATGCGATTTGGAAGCCGATCGTTACATTCAGATGGTTTATTCGGGTCCTTGACGCATCCTGCAATTCCACAAATCTGCGATCTGTCAAATGCATCGTGAGTGAGGCGGAGACGGTGCCAATCATTCCCCCCTTTGCTTTAATGGCAATCCAAAGGAAGGAACAACAAGATAAAACACGGACGACCGTAGCAAGGAACAAGGTCTGAATAGTTAAAGGCAGCGCCATCCCGACTTGTGCTCTGCGGGGCTTGAATGCACACAGTGTTCAAGAAGGTCGGTGTCTGCACAGATCTGATGCTGTGTGACCTCTCTAACCCGATTCTGAATGTCAACTGCCTCAAAGCCCGACACCACCAAAAGCTGATAGCATGACTTCACCAAGTAGCACCGGTTAACCATTCCAAATCGCACGGTGGGGGTGGTGGGGAGGGGGGGATAAACCGCACAGAAAACAACACCTAGGATTTATTTATCTTTCAATATCCAACGCAACAAATACAGACAGACAGCAGGGGATGCCAGCACGGATCATCCAGACCGCCTGGACTCTGAATCTGTGGGTAAGCAACAACCTATTGCAATGGAGTGGATTTGACAGCCCAGATTGTACCCGTACACCAGGACTGTCACATCACACTGTGTGTTGGATTCACAATGCATTGTTTTTGCTGTGGTTTGGTTTCAGATGATGGTGGTTTGCTTCATTCGCATTGTTTTGCTTCGGTCGTTTAAATCCCGTGCTTGCAGCAGTTTCTGGGAATAATCAGGCTCAGGATATGAAATAAGTCTTTCATTCAGGTTGCACCAGTTTTAAGGGAAGCAATTTAAATGGCTTTCAGAAAGAGAGAGAGGAAAAAAACACTTGGAAGATCGCAGCAAGCAGACTATTATTCTGGAAGTAAGTCCGCAAATGCATACCAGGGGCTATTTGATGTACATCTCAGTCTGTGTCATCCAAACAGCAGGTGAATGAATTCCTTTGGGTCTTGGTTATGAAAATGCGATTGATCATTTGTGACACACTGTTCTCTGGCTATTGAGATATTCGTGTAAAAGACAGACATAGTGACCCTTACGATAATAATCTCCAGGCATTAGAGTGTCAAAGTGTCTCTCCACAATGACAAACCGAATGTCTTCAGAGGCTCTCGGGTATAAACATAAACGCTGGGAACGCCGCACGAGTAGTAGGTCAGATTGGATAATGGAGTAAGAGACAACCTGTGTTCTCTATAGCAGCGAAAGTGCAATGGATCACTAGGGCAATCTGCTGTTATCGGTGAAGCAGTGCACACTATATACAGAATTCCTGGCAATGCCCTAACAACGCTGTCACATTTTCATCTGTACCGCCTTGATGGACGCACCACTATTTTGTTCCAACACATGTACTGGGAACCATTATTTATATGGATCACTTTGAAAGAAACAGGAGCATTTGCAATATGTACAATGATAACTAGATTCGGTCCAGATTGCACACCAACTGTACGGTAGCTGAAATCAAGAGTAAATCAGCTTAAATACTAGTCCTCTTATCAGAACATCTTAAGATTCTGAAACCTGAAATAAAACAATTAAACTTGCTGTGTAGCCAAAGTCAAACAAATTCTAATGAAACGTTTGTTGATGAAGTCAACAGTTGATACAGTATTCTGCTCTACATTGTGTTGAGTGCTGAGCAGAGGTGCAGTCTGACAGTCCAATGGTTTGATTCATTTCTTGTGTTGGAATTTGATGTTGATTTCACTCAAGGGCAGAGGTTGTTGCTGTTAAGATCTGGGACAGAAGCATTCAGATCAGCTGTAGGTTTCTCGGTTCATTCTCGGTGGAATTTGTCCACATATATATATGTATATATATTGAAACCACTGAAACCTTTTACGTCCTCCCGACATGAATTTTGTATTGTATTGTATTTGATCTACTCAAGGAGGCAAGCAACGGCAGATACTCTGTTAGAATAGAAATATGCCTCTCAACCTAGAATTACATGTATAACTCAAACAACCAAGTTTAATATGAAACTGCTAGACAGCAATTGGACTCAGAACATTAAGCAAGTGAATTATTGTCAAGTTCTCCCTTTCCAAAAAAATCTCCCAGGGTATGAGAAATACAAAACATTTAAATACAGTTAAGTTCATTCGGCTTTTGAGATCTCTGGCACCATTGCAGTCAATAGCAAACCATTACTGGATGAATTTCTAAAGCTTTTCTTCTCTTAATCACAGGTCACAAGATTGTAACATCTCTGCCATCTCTCGCTTTGACGATGCCTAACAGGCTCTGTATTCTGTGAACATGAAGTCTGGAAAATCTTAACTAACACGAACTGCTGAGTGGCGAACATTGCTCCCCATCGAAACTCCTAGATCTGATTATTTTGAACAAAAAAAATCTTTCCACCATAATGCTTCCTTGAACTTGAAGAAAATAAAACTTGAGTAAGATGGTTTTCCTACAGTGGCTTATGATTTTATTAACAGTCGAGGATGTTTTCAGGAACTTTGACTTCAGAGTTTCAGCCCAGTCCGGTGAAAGGAGGGTGGTGGCTCATATGGCTGGAGACATTGTCATTGGGGCTTTATTCTCTGTCCATCACCAGCCACCTGCAGATAAAGTCCATGAGAGAAAGTGTGGTGGCATAAGAGAGCAATATGGCATCCAGAGAGTTGAGGCGATGCTTCATACACTTGATCGTATCAATTCAGATCCAATGTTGTTACCCAACATAACCTTAGGGTGCGAGATCAGGGACTCTTGCTGGCATTCTGCCGTTGCCCTGGAGCAGAGTATTGAGTTTATAAGAGATTCTCTCATCTCCAGTGAAGAAGAAGAGGGAGTGGTGCGCTGCGTTGATGGAACTACAGTACCATTCCGAGCCAAAAAGCCCATAGTTGGAGTTATAGGGCCTGGCTCCAGCTCTGTGGCCATCCAGGTGCAGAACTTGCTTCAGCTCTTCAACATACCTCAGATTGCATACTCTGCCACCAGCATGGACCTCAGTGACAAAACATTGTTCAAATACTTCGTAAGAGTGGTGCCATCCGACGCTCGACAAGCCCGTGCAATGGTCGACATCGTGAAGAGATACAACTGGACCTACATATCTGCTATCCATACAGAAGGTATTTTGCCTTAATTTAATTCTAGCTCTGTCGTTTAATGTGAGTAGTGCCATATGAATTAACATTGGGGGACTATATCTCTTATGACAATAATAATAATTCTTGCATTTGATGTCACACTATTCACGTGGGGAGAAGGTTTGGAAGTGCTTCACGGGATATAATGTAAAGTGTAGAATGTTGTGGACCAACAAGATAGATGAATAATAACCAATAATACCAAATTAAGGATCAAAGTATGACAGATAATTTGCTTACCATTGATTCCATGTAACGTAATTTTTTTTGAAAAGAAGCAAAAGTAAGGTTTGTAGTTTGATTGCTGGTCTAACTGAATTGGCTGATCTCATCAGTGCCAGTGATAAGGATGCTCCAATTCATCGCAATGACCTGGGATTAAGCAGGGGGCAGCAGCAGCCAGAATTGTAGCTCCTGATCACTTTCCAGTGACCTCTGCTGGAGATCTATACATCTGGATGTTGGGTGAGGACAGGATTGGGACCAACTGTAATTGCCATGGATAAGTTGCCTGCCAATATTTATGAACAATATATTTTGCTGTGAAATTCAACTTTTGCATCAAGTCTTTTTGGTAGTAAATCTCAATAATGTGTAAATATATAAATCCAATTTACATTTATATAGTGCCGTTTACATCAGAAGGAGTCAAAGCGCTTTAACAAGCGAGCTGGAGGAGAAAGCTGAAGGTGCGGGGGGGAGAGAAAATGACTGAAAATGTGCACCATGAGAACACTTGAAACAATACTCTGCAACTTGTTATAGTAAAAGTAACTGGGGAACTATGTCAGGTTTTGAGCTGGTAGTTTGGGTACACATGTGTAGTAGAAGAGTAGCATTGAATTTTGGAGGTGCAATCCTTAAGATAAGATGTTAACTGAGGTCTTGTTTATGCAGGTGAACATTAAAGATCACATAACATTATTCAAAACAAGAAGGGATTTTTCCCAGTGTCCTGGCAATTCATGCTCCACATCATTTACCTCGTGCCTGTTTTGGGGATTTTGCTACATGCAAAATGGCTGCTATGTTTGCCTGCAAAAATCCTTCACTACATGTGATTAATTAATGTGAAGTACTTTGAGAGCTTCTGACTTTATTGGCATTGTAATAATGCAAGTTCTTTTTTTCTAATTATTTTTACATTGGTAGTTTGGTGCATTGTGAGTTAATTGCAAATAGCTTTAGCAGCAAGTTGGCAATGGTCTCATTTACACCCTCTGAAATGTTATGGCTGTTCCTCATACTGGAACTTGAGCTTGAGTACAGGCTGACACTGTCATGCAGTACTGGGGAAATGCCGCTTAGCTGGAGATGCTGTTCTTCAGATGAGATGGCAAGCCAAAATCCATTCTGCCTGATCAGATGATGATTACACATTCCAAAAATGATTGAGCTGTAAAGGTACCCTGTTTCAAGGAGAGCTGAGGATTAAACAAAATGCCGGGTTTCATACATGCTCTGAATTAGATTGATGTCAGGGAGCTCATTACGGTTAGTGTTTGAGGTGAAGAGGCAGGAGCTGAACAGGATAGCTTCGGTTTTGCTGACATAGATTTGGAGAAAGTTAAGGCTCAGTCCAGGATGCAATGTCTGACAGGCAGTCTGTCCAAGCAACATTGGTCCTGCAGTGCAGTTTTAACAGGAGCTGAGTTGTGCAATGCAATCTGCCCCTCCAAGTCCTACCGATGAGTCATTAGCACTGCCTTAGAATACTGCGGGCTATCCTTGCTCAGAAACCAGGTTACCAATACTGCCACAGAAGATTTATTTGATTCCGACATTCTGTTGCCAAGCATGTTACATTCAATCCAGTTCAGCTCCAAGGGGACACACTTACATTCCCCCACGAGGAGGATAGTTAGCAGTTGGTCTTTTGACAAGCACAGGTTTGAGCCCTCACTAGGTAGATAACAGATACTAGGAACTTCCTGTGAATTTCCTGGTGAGTAGCACACTCAGCATGAAATGCATGGCATGAGAGGTTTGCCACTATCCGCCTACCCACAGTTTAGAGACACACATCACTACCCATTTAGCGATGTTTCCACCAGTTGAAAGTGAGGAACTTGAGCAGCAGCTGCTTGGCTCTCTGCATACCAATCAAGGTGGATACCAACAAACTCAGACTCCAGGTAACAGCTTCCAACAGCTCAATAAATTAACAACCAATGTTAATCGATGACTATTCAGATATTGTACATGTTTTGGATACAATATTGTATATTTCAGAACTGGAATATATTTGATATGTGAGGTGGATTCTATTGTTCCTTCTGGATGAAACAATGGAAACTTAGTGGTGTTCCATTTCTATTTGTGGTAAGTAAATTGGGAAAGGTTTGCAGTGTGTTTCTATACTGAGTTTGTTTTAAATAGGTGCCACTATATTCTCCTACATAATGGGGACTGCTGAACAATAAGGGTGGTTTTCCAGCATATAATGTTACCTGTTATTTTCTGCCACAGACAAAGTCAATTATGATAACAATAACAGGCAGTCAATATTTTGTTGTGATACTCCTGTGAAAGTAGGAATACTCTCCAGGTGAATGTAAAATTAGCCTGGCAGACATGCTGCTCAGAAAGTAATGTAATAATTTTCAGAACATAAATATTAATTTGATCATCTTTTATAGAATCTTTAAATAAACTGTAGGTGGTGAGGTTTAATATGCAGCAATTTCCAATCTGGGTCTGAGTGGGGGTAAGAGCTTGGGCTGGTCTGAGACGTGACAGGCTGTTCATGAATAGAATGATTATTGTCTGAAACAGTTTTTGTGGATCTCAAATCTAGACTCCTGTCCAGTTTTAATAAAGGCTAATAATCTGGCATCTTAACACAAAACAGACTGTCAAATTAAAACACAAATGGTTGATCATTCCACTTTACCCCACACGTGCACATTTATTAATCCTCTCATTAACACAATGCCCATTTGGTTTACAACATACTTTTCACATGTGTTCTGATAACAGCCTCATAAAGATTACTAATGGACTTCAAAATGTCAAACTCTACATGTCTTTAGGGGATAATGGAGTTCAAATTAAACCCATGTCAATTTGTATAAAAATATTAATTGACATATTTATGGCCTATTGTGGATGCAATATGTGCAACCAGAATTTGGCTCTCTGAGGTGCTAGGAACAGTTCTGTTGGTTGATGCACATACAAAGGACAACAATAATACTTTATTTGGAGATGGCATAGATAGAGGAGTCAATAAGTTGTCATACTTGCTCTCTCAGTCAGAGGAGGGAGGTTGGGGTAAAGTCAAGGGACAAAAGATAAAAGCAGGCAAATACTAAAGAAAATAACAGATAGAAAATAAAATATACATTTGAGGATGCAGTGAGTGAACAATTCAGCTATACCAATAATTATTTGACTGAGATAATCAGTTTAGGCTAAGTCAATATTTGGTTTGATCAAAAATTCCTAGTGTTATATACGTTATACAGTATTTCTGATTCCACAACTTGTAGCACTATATAATTTGTAATGGAAGATTTTCAACTATTATGAGCTCATTACTATTAATTGATCAGATGGAGGTGGAGTGACCTGCAATGCAATATATCTTTCTCTCAGTACAAAATTAATTTTATTTTCAATGTTCAAACAGATCTGTAGTTTTGTTACTCCCCACTTAAATATTGCAACTGAATTATTCAAGGCCATATCGAAGACTCCTTATAGTGTAATTAAGGTCAAAACAAGGGTTGATAATATACTCTGGTACCCATAGGACATTTTGTAGTAGCACTTTTGAGCACCGTTTCATACTGATTGTCAACTATAGATCTCCATTGACTTGCTGTTTCAAGAGAATCTAATCTATTCAGGATGTTGGTTTGTCAGCAGCCCAGCAATTTAATTTGAATTGCTTGTATTGATCAAGGGAACCAGTAATGCAGGCTATAATTAAAGTTTTATTTGGACTCTAATTTGACGTTGTATTTCAGAGACTAAAAATTCACCAATGTGTTCCCAGTTACAGAGCTCGTGCGCTGAATGACTTTCATCTGAGACTGAAGGGCAAGATTTAAATATGGATGAACACAGATATTTTAAGCTGCTACAAATAGCCTGTAATATTCTAATGAACAACACTGTATAAAATATACCTCTCTCTAATTTTGCAATTGTAAACCTTAAGAAAATTGGACTTTGCTGATCTAATAAATTAAAATTTATATTTCTCCTTTTGCTTCTGTACATTAACCAAAATCCAGTTTTAAACAGTGCTACTTACATCATACTTATTTTATTCAGTGCTGCAACACTTCTTATTATATAATAATAATCCTTGCATTTCATATAGAGCCTTTCATGTCTTACAGACATCTCAAAGCGCTTCACAAAATATACTGTAAAGTGAATTAACTGTATATTTGTGGGCAAAACGCCGCAGTCAATTGTGCACAACAGTGTCCCACAAACACATGGATTGAAGTGACCAATTTATTTATTTTTTTCTTGAGGGATTATTATCAGGCATGTGGAGTAAGGAAACTTGCCCAAGGTTTCGCCTTGCTGAGAATTGAACCCAAGTTTCTCACTTGTGAGCCGAGTGCTCTAACCACTGAGCGACAGGACTCTAGCACTGGGGACTTTTTGTTTGGGCTGTGACACTCCCTAGACATCATTCTTGATTCTTGTAAAGAAAACACTGAAAATGGTGGTGGAAATCAACATCATTAATTTCTGGTGTAACAAACTGTTGAATTCAGGCACCTCGGGGAAAAAATTCCATCTGGACCTGGGTTTACTCTATTATGTCAACATTTTAGAGTGAACCGAATTTGCTAAATTCTTAAATACTCTTTAAATATTGTTCAATATGTAAACAGTTTTCTGCAAGTTCCAGAATACCAATCATGCCATCCTTCCATTATAGCAACAAGTTATTTTATAAGTGAGACAATATACTGGCCTCAATCATCCTTCCTGCTAACCTATTCAGTCATTAATTG